TCCCTAACCTGAAAATCCAAAATGCTCTAAAATCTGAACTTTTTGAGCACTGACATGATGCTCAAAGGAGCATTTCAGATTTTCAGAATAGGGATGCTTAATTGGTTAATCTACAAATACCACAAAATCCAGAGAAAATCCAAAATCTGAAACACTTCTGGTTCAAAGCACTTCAGATAAGGGATACTAAACCTATACTACATAAACTCTGTGATGGCAAGGTCTTTGTAGAATTTGTTTACCACTATATCCCTGTAACAGAAACTGCTTACAGGTACTAAACACCCATTCTTTATCTTTGTCCCTCTTAGTAACAGAACCTCCAAGTTTTATCTAAGCATCTGGACTTCTTCCTAATGTCCCTTGCAACTACGTGTGGCCACGTTGCCAAGTTCTAGTCAATGGGATGTGAGCAGAAGTGATGTGTAAAACTTCTAGGTTGTGCCTTTAAAGGGAAAAGGTGTATCCTTCCCAGCCCTTCCCTCCTCTATGCTAGCTAGAAAGCAAACATGGTGATAAGCCACCTTACATCATGTGGACAACTTTAAGCAAGACCACAGGGAGGACAGAACAAGACAGAAAAAAACCTGTACGTCTAATAACTTCATAGAGCAGATCACCCTAACAGCCTTGACTTCTATCTTGTTTAAGCTAATCTTTGTTTTTCTCCTGGTCTCTCTCACATGCAGTCAAACCTTTATCCCAACAAATACAATCCCATCACCCAGAACAAGACCTTGCAACAGAAGGCCTCAATAAATACTTATTCAACGAACAAGTGAATTAATCAATCTCTCATTTGGTTAGCATGAGCCAGAAAGAACTCTTGAACATGATCTACCTCTAGTTACATTAGTTTCTCAACTTGAAAAACTTTGGCTCAGATTTACATCTAATACAGGGGCCAAACCTATGGGCCCTCCCTGAGCAGCCAGAAAGCATCCCTCTAATTTTTAACACCTCTCTAAACTTCAGTGACTTAATTTTGCATATTACCTTCCTAATTTTTATATAACTAATGGACATATTGTTAATCATAATGATATAGCCTACTTTTTCTGGAAGTATTTACATCATTTAAAGACTTCCAGGAACACAGCATCTGGCTGCCTGGGTGATGGTGGCCTACAATCAACTTGCAACCATCCAGAATTACAAGGCTGTCTGCAGAGATTTGAAAAATGGCAACAAATGAAAGTGCCAGCATCTTTAGTTCAGCAGCCATGGCTGTGGAGTATGTAGATTCACTTTTACCTGAGAATCCTCTGTGAGAACTATTTTTAAAAAGCTTGGAACTATTTGTTGAATAATTATAAAAAGATCCAAAATGCAACACGAGGGTCTATTATAGTTCATAAAGCCTTTTATTTCTTGTTCTGTTTACCTGGATTTTTATTTCAATTTATACCTTACATTAAAAAGTACAAAATTTAAAAGGATAAACCAGAAACATGGGAAAACCAATGGAAATGTTTTAAAGTAGTTCTCTTTTATCACTTTTGTATCTAGCTGCCTTTGATTTGTGAAACCTATTGTTTTACAGAGTATCTCAATATTCCTTATGATTGGGAAAGAATGCCAAGCTGGTATATGCTTTTGGCAAGATACTCTGGCTGTGCAGTCATTGAGGATACTTGGTACTATTTCCTGCCTAGACTCTTATACCACAAAAGAATATATAAATATATTCATAAAATGCATCAAGGGTTTCAGGCTCCATTTGGAAGGGAAGATGAATAGGTACATCCTTTGGAAACCCTAATTCTTGGAACTGGATTTTTCATCAGAATCATGCTTTTGTGTGATCATGTAATTCTTCTTCATGGGCATGGGTGACCATTCATTTGACAGAACCTATTGATATGGTTATGATATTCCTCTCAACTCTTTAAATTTCATCCCTTTCTGTGTTGGTTCTTGACATCATAATTTCTACCACATGAACTTCAGCGGAAACAAAACTATGCTTTAACATTTACATAGTGGGACAGAATTTTTGGAACAGGCTGGCTGGTTAGCTTAGTTGATTAGAGAGAAGCCTTATAATACCAAGGTCACGGGTTCAGATCCCCATACCAGCCAGCCATCAAAAAAAATAAATAAATAAAATAAAATATTTTTGGAAGAATCTCTCAGTTTAATGCCTGTAATGAAAAAATGAAGTATGGGGGAAAGACTGAATAAATATTTTATGTAAACCATCCTGAAGACACACATTTTCCTGAATTGAAACTAGTAGCTAACATTGCTTCTGGGGAGCAGAAATGAGCATGTGTCTTGGCTGCTAAATGATAAAAAGAACATTAACAACCTTTAATTATATTCCTAGTGGGAACTTTTTCTACTTTACATACAAGTTCTATATACGTAGAAATATATATTTAAGTACAAAGGAAAAAAAAAAGACTTGCAGTTGGTTTAGTATTATCAATGAAAAAGATAAATAGATTCGTGGAAATAGGCCATGAAATACAAAAGAAAAAAGGTGATATAATTTAAAATTCAGAGGACAATATCAAGAGATTCAGCTTCCCTCAATAAACAAGCAGAAAAGTAACTGCTTTTTATGAGTCCAAAGTGACCAGTTTAAAACAAGTTCAGAGTTACTGCAATAAGCCATAGAGCAACTAAGAAGCTATAAAAATTAAAAACAAGCCAAAACAGATTCAGATCCTTTTTCATATTGCTACTAGTCTCTCTCTAGTGTTCATCAGAACACTAGAAAGGATACGCAGCAGCCATGTTAAGACCAGGAGGGAAAGATAAAGAAAATTGAGGAGACATCTAACCTCAACTGACAAACACCACCCTTCACTCAAAAATAAACATGACAAAATATTACACCCAAAAAATAAACCCTTGTTTGGTCAAATCACCATCATTTGGGTTTTCTGTTACATGCAGCCAAACACTTTCAGGTTTTACAATTCAGAAAATTTAAATTGAACAGCAAGCTTACAGTTAAATTCTTTATCCTAAATATTTCATTTATGCCAATGTAAAAGTATGTCAAAGGACAAATTTTTTTTTTAAAAGATGACCAGTAAGGGGATCTTAACCCTTGACTTGGTGTTATCAGCACCACGCTCACCCAGTGAGCGCACCCACCATCCCTATATGGGATCCGAACCCGTGGCCTGGGTGCTACCAGCACCGCACTCTACCGAGTGAGCCACAGGCCGGCCCCAAAAATGTTAACTTTTTAAATGTAAATATACAACTAAAAGAAAGACGAGAAAGGCAGAATGTTAGAAGTGGTTATGTTTAGGTGGTGGGATGTTGAGCGATTTTTCTTTTTCTTTTTTTCTTTTTTTTTTAAAGATGACTGGTAAGGTGATTTTAACCCTTGACTGGGTGTTGTCAGCACCCACCATCCCTATATGGGATCCGAACCCGTGGCCTTGGTGTTATCAGCACCGCATTCTCCCGAGTGAGCTAAGGGCCGGCCCAAAGGACAAATTTTTAAAAAACATAATCATAACTCATTTTCAAGTACGTAGGTGACATATATCACTTTTGCAGTTATTCTTTGGCCTACTTTGTATTAATTGATAAGACTTACTTGAAATTTAAGTCATTTGCATCTATGGAAATGCTATTCTGATTCAAAAGAGCATTGACATTCAGGGCCGGCCCGGTGGCGCACTGGATAGTGCGCCGCTTGGGAAGCGTGACAGCGCTCCCGCCTGAGGGTTCGGATCCCACATACAGACCGGTTCCCGCTCACTGGCTGAGCGAGGCGTGGGAGCAACGCCGAGGGTTGCAATCCCGTTGCCGGTCCCCGGTCCGGTACGGGGGCAACACTGAGGGTTGCGATCCGTTGCCGGACACGGAAAAAGACAAAAGACAAAAAAAAAAAAAGAGCATTGACATTCTAGTCAACACCTCAACAGAAGAATATATAAAATCCTAACAAAATTGACTCATTTAACAAATATTGTGTTCCTATTAAATGCCAGAGTGGGTACCAAAGATTACCACAATAAAAAGAAACACACTACTCCTGCCCTCATTAGGTTTACACGTTAGCAGATAATCAAGTAAACCTGGTCTGAAAAGGTTTTCTGTGGGTTTAGCCAAGACAAAATAAAGAAGAACTGAGGGAGAATGTATTCTGCAACTACAGGGATATTCTTTTAAAACACACCAGGATCCCCAAAGAAATATGGGTAAAATATATCTATAAACAGTAAACAGCTAACCAACACACACAGAGCTATTCTCCGTAGCAGTCCAAGATATATAAACTAAAAATAGTGAGATTATTTAAAAAGCTATCAAAATGGCAAGGATTCTAAAATGATACCGCATAAGGCTAATAAAAAGATTTCACCAGGGCCAGCCCGGTGGCGCACTGCTACAGTGCGCCGCTTGGGAAGCGCGGCGGCGCTCCCGCCGAGGGTTCAGATCCCACATACAGACCGGTTCCCGCTCACTGGCTGAGCGAGGGGCGGGCGTAGCGCCGAGGGTTGCGATCTCGTTGCCGGTCCCGGTCCGGTACGGGCGTGACACTGAGGGTTGCAGTCCGTTGCCGGACACGAAAAAAGACAAAAAAGACAAAAAAAAAAAGACAAAAAAAAAAAGAATAAAAAGATTTCATCAAGCAATCTCATATACTGCTAACTGAAATACATTTTACATATTACTGGTACAAATATAAATCAATGTAACCTTTAGGTATATCATGTAGAAATACTTATTAAGAGGCCAATTCCTTATATACTGAAAAAAAAAAAAAAATTTTTTTTTTTTTTTTTTAAACATGACCAGTAAGGGGATCTTAACCCTTGACTTGGTGTTGTCAGCACCACGCTCTCCCAAGTGAGCTAACTGGCCATCCCTATACAGGGATCCGAACTCATGGTCTTGGTGTTATCAGCAGCGCACTCTCCCAAGTGAGCCACGGGCCAGCCCAAAATATTTTTTTTTTGATCTTGGAAAAAAATGGAAATGAAAATGCAAAAGGATTTATACTTGTCATAGAATCTCCAACAACTTACCGTTTCAAAGCTGCCTTTATGCATCAAGTCAATGGGTGGCCGAAACAGATCTGCAAGGGTAGTTAGTTTCTTATCTATTGCTCCTCCATTTCTTAATTCCTGTTCTTGCCGAACTGCAACACAGGAGGATGAAAAGTTTCAAACAGCCATAAAATTTAATAACCATACATTGTATAATTCAAAAGAAAAAAACCTTATAATGTGCTTGACCTCAAATGCCAATGCAAACATCTAACACTGAAAAAAAAATACAAAGAGGGGTGTGGAGGAAATCTTAACACTTGGATAAAAGAAAGGATAGAAAGCAGAACATAAAATTAAAAAGTCACCTAATCAAAATAATTTTTTACATATCTAAAAACTTTAGCGCAGGAGAAAACTTTCATCTCCATTTATCTAGTTCTGAAAGTGATTTTTATTCATCTGTTATTTCTAGCCACCTTCCCAATCTTTAAAGAGTCTGTCAGTAGAGATGATGATTGCTGTCACCTTCCACTGGAAGGATACAGATTCCCTAGATCACTTAAGTCAGCTTAGGTCTCCCTTCAACACTCTCCAAAGTCACAAGACCTATCTATGCCTCAGTGAGTTCAATATAAATCAACTATAAAATCAAGTATGGTGTAAGAATTTCTCATATATTCTCTAAACATAATTTTCTCTTTCAGGATTCCACTGCTAAAACAGTACTATATTCTCTAAAAGTATAAGGCTAAGATTATCATTCTAACTTATTCCACAAAAAGATATGAGGTTATTTCAAGACGTTCATGGAAAGATTCAAATTATCTTTGAATTCTATTTTTCCATGAATGTTTTGAAGCACCCTCATATAAACCTATTCTAGACTGTAGCCAAAATGTTAATAGTGGCTGCTTTGGATGGTATGGCTTTTTCTTCTATTTTTCAGTCTCCTACAATAATCACTTTCATTACAGTTATTCCTTTCATTGACAGATATCAGGATCCTGAGGGAAAACCGTTTTTTGTTTGTTCATTTGTTTTTGGCAGCTAGCCAGAAAACAGTTTTTTCTTTTATTAGAGTAAGTATTTAGGTGCTCATTCTGAAGCAAATTGTTTTTAAATTACAAGATTTCTTACATTATCTCCATCCCCCTTATTATTCTTCCATAAATAAATAGGTCAGAATTTGGAACAATTCAGCTTTGGGGGAGTTAATCACAGACTGAATTCATAATTTCAATTTTTAAATAAGGTGAATCCTCGAAGTAATTAGACCTAATATTAATCTTTTTCTTTTCAGTAAGGAGGGAGGGAGGGAGAGAAGGGGACAGAGATAATAAACTGGTCCATTGATACGTACTAGTTTCAGTTTGAAAATCTCGAAAACCATCAAATATTGAACGTGCAGGCCGTCGTCTCTTAGGAGCTTTAGAGGGAAAAAAAAGAACTGATTCAAAAATTTAAACATTTATTTTAAAACTTAACTCTAAAAATCTCCTTATCTATAAGAATTTCTTGTTTTAAAAAACTCATAGATTCAAAATGGTGCCCTCACTCAAAAACTAAAAAATTTTTAAAACTTTCAAGTCATTCATATATAATTAACCCAACCATCTTCAGGCAAACCATTTTGTTTTACGAATGAGAAAATTAAGACCTAGTTAAGAGATCTGACCAAATGTGCAAAAAGACAGAGTCCAGACTTCCGGTCAAGATGGCAGAATAGAGGGCCGGCCCGGTGGCGCACTGGATAGTGCGCTGCTTGGGAAGCGCGGCGGCGCTCCCGCCCAAGGGTTCGGATCCCACATACAGACCGGTTCCTGCTCACTGGCTGAGCGAGGCGCGGGAGCAACACCGAGGGTTGCGATCCCGTTGCTGGTCACGGAAAAAGACAAAAGACAAAAAAAAAAAAAAGATGGCAGAATAGACGATCCCTAGCGTCACTCTCTCCAACAAATCAACCGATTTAAACTATAAAAACATAACATCAAGTGCATATGAATGGGGAGACGTCCAGTGGGGGAGGCAGAAGCTCCATGGAGACCACATGCCCTACGGGGCCACCATCGCACAATCCAGCAGATAGGCTTCACTGCCACCACCCGGTTCCATTCCCAGCCCAGCCCAGTGCGCATAGAGTGGGGAGACGTCCGGTAGGGGAGGCGGAGGCTCTGCAGAAACCACACACCCTGTGGGGCCGCCACTGCGTGATCCAGCAGGTAGGCTTCACCGCAGGCACCCGGCTCCATTCCCAGCCTGGCCTAATGTGCTTGGAGCAGGGAGACGTCCGGCATGGGAGGCGGGAACTCCACAGGGACCACACTGCTGTCGTGCAATCCAGCAGCCCAGCCCAATGCGTATGGAGCACAGAGACATCCAGCAGGGGAGACAGAAGCTCCGTAGAGTCCACACACCCTGTGGGGGGGCCGCCGCCGTGCAATCCAGCAGCAGGTAGGCTTCACTGCCGCCACCCGGTTCCATCCCAAGCCCGGCCTACGACACACAGAGCAGGGAGACATCCAGCAGGGGAAGGGGAAGCTCCGCAGAGACCACACGCTCTGCGTTGCCTCGGTGCATCCCAGCAGCCCGGCCCAGAGCGCACAGAACAGGGAGAAGTCCAGCACGGGAGGTGGAAGCTCAGCAGAGACCACACACCCTGTGGTACTGCCCCGTGACCAAGCAGCCCGGCCGAGTCCAAGCTGACCAGAGAGGTGGCTCCCCAGAGAGGCCCAAGACCAGAGGCAACCACACACTCAAGGCACTAGTGGCCAACTGAGCAGTCACTGAGGTAGCCACACCAAATTGGCAACCACAGCAACATCTTAGTCAGTCAATAGTGTCAAACCTGTGGACTGTGAAACACCTTGCCACAATGAATAAACATCAAAGAAAAGATACCAGAAATACAAAAAATCAAGAAAGTACACCACCAAAGGATAATAACTCTCAAGCTCTAGATCCTATAGAACAAGAAGCCCTTGAAATGACTGACAAGGAATTTC